CATCTTGATGAGGGTTGACGTATATTGCTCATTGACATAGAGCAACCCCTCCCCCTTTTTTCCCCACCCTGTCCTTTCTGTACAATCTATAACCCTCAATATGTACCGCCCAGTCGTGGGACGAATCCCACCAGGTTTCCGTTAGCCCCACTAAGTCGTAGGTGTTTTGTGCAAGCAGGAGGCGACAGGTGCCTTTGCTGCCCCCCCGCTCCGAGTCCCAAGGGGCCCCTTATTTCTTACCTTCTCATTTCTTACCTGTGCCGTAGTGCTGGCCGCCCCGCAGCTTGCAGGTTCCCAATGTTCTCTTTCTTCAGGCTGGGCTGTCCTTGTGGGTGCCACATGGTTTGGTGGTCCACAGCTTCCCCCGCCCTCATCTTCCCCTCCCCCCAGCGAGCCTAGTTTAAAGCCCGCCGGAGGAGATCCACCAACCTAGAAGAAAACACACGCTTACCTTTGGGGGACAGGTGAAGCCCATCCCAACTGAGCATGTCCCTCGTCGTGATGTGCGGGTCATTGTCCAGGAAGCCGAAGCCTGCCTCGAGACACCACTGCCGAAGCCGCCAGCTGGTCTCTCGGATGCAGTTCTCATGCCATCTTCCGCGTCCGCTCACTGGTAGGATGGAAGAGAATACCACCTGTGCACCGAACTCCCTCATGGCCTTACCATCTGGTTCCACAATTTTGTACCTGTACTAAGATGCAGAGACATGATGGATTTAAATATTTCACCTACTTGATTTTCTGGACACAATCAGTGAGTTTTAAAAAATGGGATCCTTGGAAGATAATTTTCTAACAATCAGTACAAGACATTCTCTTGCAAAAAATTAGATTTATATTTTTGTAATATAGTTTATGCACTGAGGATTGAACCAAAAGCATGTTATATGTAGCCATGGGTGACTGGTGCCTCTTGAGTCAGCGACCGGAGGGACGTCCCCTGTGGCCGATTGTGCTGACCGTGGGGGAGGGGGGTCAGTCCCCCATGGCAGATCTCAATGCCTGGGGGAAGTTCGCTGCAGCCACTTCTGGGAGCGGCTACAGTGATCAGCTGCAACGCTTGCAGGGGGGGCGCCGGCGCTCCTGCCTGGCCCCCCCGCCCATCGCCTAAGCAGCGAGCACAGCCAACCAAGGGGTACACCAGCATTCTCAGGGGGTGCACATGTACCCCCGTGCACCCCCTACACATCACCACTCTATGTAGCCACACTGCATGTCTTCATGTGTGTTCACTAAAAAGAGGGAACCAAATCACTTCTGATCTTATCATTAGTCATCCTTCATGCAAAAAATGGAAATATTATATACCAGTGTGATATTCTAAGATTAATAGGGCTACCTATTTTGGTTTCAGATGCAAGAAGAGAATTTTCTTACTGCTTAAAAAAACTGGAAGTCTTCATACTATGCACTGACTTGAGCAGAATTTTGTGATGCAGCAGTAAAGGTAATATTTCCATTACAATTAATCACGTGGAGAGTCTTTTTCCTGGCTTCATTGGACTTGGATCGGATTTTAAATGAAAAATGATATAGCATATCATTTCTATGTACAATTAATTTAGGAAGGGGAGTTGATGGGGATAAAGGGAGAAAGAAAGGGATCTGTGAATGAACATATGCCAGGTATGCCTTAACTTAGGACAGGGCTGTCCAACCTCCAAGTAGCTGGGGGCCTCATCAAAAGGTCCATACCAGTGGGGCTGCATACCCTGTAGGCTGCACCAGGGTGAGCCATGGCCCCTCCAGGCCACATCCCTACAGACACCCCCCAACTGCTTTACCTCATGCCCATGACATCTTCCCATATGCCCAGCACCCCTCAGTGCACTGAGTGCCCACAACCCTCCCCCCACTGCTGCACTGTGCATCTGAGACCTCTCCCACAACAGCTACACTGTGCACCCATGACCCCCCCACTGCTACTCCATGCACCCATATGCTTATCCCACCATTGCACCCCATATCTGCAACCCAGTCCCCACATTGCACCCCATATCTGCAACCCCCTGTTGTACTGTGCACCCCAGGCTCACCCCCAGGTCCCCATGCAGCTGCTCTGCCCTGCCCCCTGGAATACGGGCAGGAAGCAGCAGCTGGGGAGGGAGTGGGTTTGCAGAGACTCCAGCTGTTGTTGTAGCCAGGTTGATGGGGAGAGCAGCAGCTGGGCAGGTGTCCGGGAGCCACAATATAACCCCTCAGGGGCCACCAATTGGCTTGACTTAGGCATGTCAAGGAACAGTCTTGACTTAGGCATGTGTGAGATAGCAGCTGAATATCCATGCTCTAGTGATTATTGTATTCTCTTTATATTCCTTCTGTCTGAGGCTAAGCAGAAACATTCCAGCTTTCAATCCAGTCTCAGGGCAAGATGACAAATTAACATTTGGCAAGCTTGTCTGAATGTCTCCCAAGCATGTATTTGGTCCAGTAAGAAGATACCACCCACAAAAATCCCTGCCTCCAACATTTCCTGGACCATCATGGCTGCAGCAGTCCAACGTTATAACATCAATGCTGTTGTTTAAGATACATGTTTACAATCTCTTTTTAACTAGTACTGCTTTACATATTCGATACCTGACCTTTACTGCTTGGTGTGTGACAAGTCACCTAACTCATGGCATTGAGTTTGTGTGAACGATGCAGTTATAAATCTTGTAGGAACAGTATCCAAAGAAACCATTAATATGTTGAATCTCTCATGGAGTAAAGGTAGAACAGAATATATGGGGAAAGAGGCAGGAGCAAAATGATTTCTGATCAGATTTTTTACCAACAACAACAAAAAAAAGAAATGTACATAGACAATTATAATTCTGTTTGTATTTCAAAATACAAACACAATAACATCACCACTTTCCCACCAGCCAAAACATAATATGAAAGTTATTACGAATGTATACAGACTTAAAATAGGTGGTTTTCTTCCCAACTTAGTGAAAAACAAAAGCTAAAAGCCAAATAGCTGTCTGCAGTAGTTAGAGCCAGATTCTCTGGTATTTCAAGACAAAGCCTTAGGCCTGTGCAAATAGGGAAGTATTCGATTCGGATTCAGCTGATTTGGAGGACAGTGATTTGATTCGGAGATTTGGATCATTGTCCTGAATTGATTTGGTTGAATTGGCTTCGGAAGATTCGGCGCTGATTCAGAGATTCGGATTGGCCGGGTAGAGGCGGGCACAGCTGGCCAGCTGCAGGTTCTCCCATAGCTCCTCTGGCTGTGCCTACATCTCCCCAGGTGGGAGGAGCCACAGGAGAAGCCCCCATGGCTGCCCTGCCTGACCCCCCCCCCGCCTGGCCCCAGCCTGGTCCTGACACTTGGGGGGGGAAAAAAGCCCCGCACTCACCAGCTGCAGCAGCAGCGATTGGGGCCTGCACTCACTGGCAGCACCTGGGGCCTCTGGGTACCTGTGGCAGACTCCCACCCTGTGCAGCATGGGGCAGTGGGGGGCAGCAGGGATCGCCGCCCCCCCCACCTGACACCTATGCAGCATCTGCCCCATGGAGCAGGTACAGCTGGGGCCACTGGGGTTGAGTGGTGCTGGGCTCTGGCTGACACATGGAACTGCCCCAGCTGCAGACAGCGTGTAGCACCCTACCAAGCCACACTGCACCTGTGGCATGGAGCAGC